TCTCTCACTTCCCTTCCCCTCCGCAGGGGACATGGACATAAATCAATTTAAATGAATTCTGAGAATTTAAATGCTAGATGCTCTTCATCTGTAAAACCTTGAGCCCTTCATGCATGTTAAATATATTTTCAATTTTCTATGGCCTTTTTCTCCTATCTACTCATCTGAAATAATCTAATTGCGTAATATTAAAACCAGGAATTTGTCATTATTGTTCTGTCCGCCCTTGTTTCTGGCACTGTTCTGGAAGTTTGTGGAAGGGTTCCTTATCACATCATTTTCTCCTATCCTTGTTAAAAACATAAAAATAAAAAACCCTTACCACCATCAAGTCGATACTGACTCATAGAGACCCTGTAGGACAGGGTGAAATTGCCCCTGTGAGTTTCCAAGACTGTAACTCTTTATGGGAGTAGAGCCATCAAATAAATTTGGACTCCTAGTGACTCTGTACACTCAGCAGAACGAAACACTGTCCGACCCCACTCTAGTCTCATATTGCTGTTATGTCTGGGCCCAGAGTGGCAGTCACTGTGTCAGTCTATCGCATCAAGGATCTTCCTCGCTTTCCCTTACCCTCCACAGCAAAACGTAGTTGGTGCAAATCCTTAATCCATTCAGCTGTTACCAAAAAGGTTGGCGGTTCAAGTCCACCCAGAGGTGCCTTGACGACAAGTCCAAGGTGATTGGGTTCTGAAAAATTCACCATTGAAGATGAGCGGAAACACAGTTCTCCTGGGACACCCATGGAAGGGACACGAGCTAGAGTTGAATCAAAACCAAAAAATTTGAGTTGTAATTTTTGTTTTGTTTTTTGGAAGTAGTTATCCGACCTAAGCAGTAATGTGAAATTCAAGCAGACCGTCAGACTCATAACACACCGTAGGTTTCACTCCATGGCAAATTCAGAAAAGCAGCCACAAAAGATTCAAATATGTGTCAATCAAGCAAGCATCGTGGCAAACGACATGGTCTTACCCCCCTCCAGGCACCATTGTCATTGTCTCAGCCACCCCTCATTGAGGACATGTGTGACAGATGAAACCCCTCTGTGGATCAGAGCCTGTTTCTGTTCAAGAAGGCCCTAGTTCCTTTTCACGCCCACACCTTGTGAATTCCCTCAAGCCCAGCGCTACCTTCTCTGGGACAGCTGCATCTCATCAACCCTGGTTACCCGGTGCCTGGTAAACAATTGACAAGGAAGTAGAAGAACTTGGTCTTGAATGTCTTGAACATAGTCATCTCAGTTCCTTAATCTGAGAACGTTGGGTTCGTGTTACAACTAAGGTTTCGTCAAAGGTCAAATTCTCAGGCAGCTAGCTGGTAATTCTTTCCTGCCCCAAACATCCCTCATGGATCTCTCCATTCCAATGCTCTAACAATTGACAGTGTTCTCGATTACTTGGATCTCTGACTTGGCTCTCTTTTAGTTCTGTTTTCATGTGGGAAGGACCAGATCCCCACTTTTCACTTCCCTGAGACCAAACTGTAAGGATAAGTCAAAATAATTTAATTCATTATCAACCTCGTTCCTTTCTGTTTCACTTTTGTTCTGATACCAGATGCACACTTCTGCCCCTGACTACCAGCTCACCAGGTGAAGGGCCCAGAGCACTAGAATGTCAAAGGATCCGGGCACTCACACACCAGCTGCAATACCCTCCCTTCTTATCTGCTGGCTACAAATTGAGGGCTCTCCCAGTATCCCTTCGGGATGCCACAGCAAGTCTAGTGGTCTTTAGCACCCACCCTTATGATCTGCTGGCTCTCATTACTCCCTTGGGTTTAATAATAGACTTGGAGGACTCACAATATTCATAGAAAATCCTTGACTTACAATTACAGTTCACGGGACACTCTGTCTACCATCAGACATTGATCTCTCTCCAACTGGAAAGTTCATGGAGCTTCTGTGTCCAGAGCCTTTGCTCATATCTCATTTTGGAGCCAAGATTCCCTGAATCCTTCCACCTTCGCAGAGATTAGCTTATCAATAGTTTCTCTTTCCGTCCTGCCCATCCCCAAGTTAGTTAGTCACACTACTACTGCAATGTGGTCTAGTC